TATGTGCCCAGCTCACTGACAGTATTGGTTGAACCAGGAAACTAATTTTTTGTTTGTAGAGCTTTTTGGTCTGGAGGATCCTGACATCAGTTGCTGATGTATTAGCCAAAGTTGCTACTGGGAATAACAGTAGAGGTGATGGTAGCATCCAGTAGCTGGTAAAAACAAAGACATGACATGAGCTACTGAAATCTGAGATAGACAAAAAGGACTTTTCAGCACTCAGCCCTTGTTTGGGGCTTTCTAAGGGTGCAGACAGACAGCAGCCTTGCTATTAATTGGCCAGATGACAACATGGAACAGAGCACTCTCCACAATGGACATCTTTCAAAATGTATTGTGAAATGAGAAAGACATAATACAAGATAATTGAACTGAATTTTTGTGAAAAAGAATCAGTGGAACTAGACTTTTTTTTAAGTAGTTCTTTTCTTTGAGCTGCCTTTTATTATGAAGGTATTGCCTGGAAGGAATGACTGAGGTGCGAAAACAATCTGTAAGAAGATTGGTAATATGAGAAGGACCAGGAGAGATATGGAAAAGATAGAAAATGCAGTGCTGCTGAGTTGAAAACTCTGAGTATAGGAGGAGACCCTTTTTTGTCTCAGTGCACAAAATTAAGCACATTGTTTTTGTTGGACCAATGCCTAAAGAACATAAGTGAGAAGACATATGATTCACTGAAGCACATTAGTCAGGCAGACAAACTTATTTTGAAGACTTCCATGTAGATATGATGGCTGTAATTGTAAGAGAATACTTTCTGTATTGTTTAAAATATTTCGTCTTTCTCATTGTATTTTCCACATTGCGATTTGCTTGGTAATATGATATCCTTATGATAATTGTGGTACAATATTGCACTTAAGGAAAGAAAATACAACTGAGTTTGGACACTATGGCTGTTATTTCTAACTGCTCACACCAGCATATAGAATTTTTTATTCCGTTATGATATGTGTATGTCTGCATGTTTATAATATATATATGTATACACACAACAAATGTTTATATAGACAAATACATTTTTTATATTCTAACAATTTTGGAAGGTTACAAAATGTAAGGATTAGAAAGGTCCCTAATAATTCAAGATAAATATATGGAAACCAAGGAAATTATTTGTTTTGGAAAAGAGATGCTTAAACTGACTTGTACTGCTCAACTAGGTAGGAATTCATTACAAATAGCCTTGAAAAGTGATTTGATATTTAGACATCTTGCCATTTCCTTGAAGTTATTCTCATAGACCAAAGTTTGTCTACATGCAATTTGCAGGATCAGAGCCCTCAAAATTTAGTTAAGAATCCTTGAGTTTTCAACTTCAGATACGAAGTAACAATCTACCTTTTTCTTTCTTGTTAGACATCTTTTTCAAGAATGGTTATAGCTTCTTAAAGTTCACTGTAATGTTGCACCAGTGGTTATTGACATATTTCTTATGCTTCATCATAGCTTGACTGGGTCACACGTTAGCTGGCAGTGACTTGTCTTCACCCTGCTAGGGTTAATTCTGTGTATCAAACATGGAAACTAAGACGTGAGAAGCAAACTTGGAAAATATGGTGAAAGAAGAAAGTAATCTCTTTCTTAAGGTATCCTTCCAATGGGATCTTTTCATTGACTATGATTACAAAGTGTTCTCTAATAATAGGGAAATTTTCCTTTAGGATTGTCCTGAATCTCTTTCATTTCAGAGAACATCTGATTTTAGATCGAACAGTTGTTTCTTTAAGGGGACTGGCTTCCATCAAGACGAGCAATTATAAAAATCAGTACGCCTTTACAAAACATGGAAAGGGAAATTCTCCCTTGATTGCCTTCAGCTTCTCTAGGTGTAGGGTTTCACCTGTAACCTCTGCTCATAACTTGTCTGAGCACAACTTGTAGCACAACTTGATAAGGTAATATATAAACATGTATATATTATCTTCTTTGGCTTTGCAACTATTGAACTCTGAAGTGTTACAGAAGAAGTCCCCTTCTCACCCTACTGAAGGGTTACAGTCTCTTCACTCAGTTAAGCATCATGGTTGGTACCAAAAAGTAGGACTAACTTTTCTTTCACTCTTCTGCTCTCTCTCAGTGTTTCTTAATTCTGCATGAATGTTGGGAATAATTGCATTTTATGATCTATCTTATTTTTGTATTTAACCTACAAGTAAGAATCATTTAAGTAATGAGTTTTATGAGCTACAAGTAAATGCCATTTAAGCAGTGAGGTTTATTTCAGTTCTCTTACGGCTGCAGGAAATGATTCAGTGAGGTACCATATTTTATGTTGCTGTGCTGAAAAGTTATTTATGGATATTTTTCCATTTTCTCCATCTTATTCTTGCAGGGAAAGAAAATTTAAATTTTTTTTTTTTTTTTTTTAGGGTTCCAGTTCAGTTGTAAAAGTTCAGCATAAGCTAATTTGGAGCTGGTTAAATGCTTAGGAGCAATCTGTCTGCTCTCATGTAGAACTACCATTAACATGCCAGCTACAGTTATATTGAAACAAGCTCAGATGGCTTCATGTCCCCACAGAGTATGGAGATTTAAACTTTGAAATAAAAAAGGCATAAAGATCTTCTTTAAGTAGAGGCTGGGTAAACTGGCAGCTATCTGGGAAGTGAGTAATGGACAACCCTGCTTAGCAGCCATTGTACTTGTAAATTTGAGCAATGTGTTTCTACTTTGGAGCAATTTCATTCATATATTTCATAACACTGAAAAGGTCACGAATTTCTACATAGGGCCTCATTGTATATTCCTATGCAGCCAACGCTCTGCTTGAGTTGAGGTTTGTGGAGCTGTGAGAATTTGGAGGGAAGAGAACTATGGATGCAATAGACACAAACCTGGAGTGCTCCACCAACAATTCTGTGAAGAAAGTTGAGCTGTGTATCAAACTAATATCAACATTCATAATTCAGTATTAAGGACCATGTTCTGACTACCTTTCTGATAGCTGAAGAATGACACTATTAGTGAAGGAAAACAAGTGCAGTCAGAATCTGGAGCTGACTGATAATTAAATTTGACTAGAAACTGTAAAAATAGTCGACATGATAGCAACATGAGGTTGTACTGTATAATGTCATTTTTAATACATCATCATAACTTGACACTGGTCCTTCAGTTTAACAATAATTAACATCTTTTGACTGTTTGTATTTGGCTTACAGTATGTCTCAATGTTATGTGTTGGGAATTGTAAAAGGTGCATGATTGTGCTGTTTCTGTTCAAGTTGTTTCTAATTAATAACTTCACTGTCCAGTGTTCTTTCAATAAGGGTACCTAACACAGTATTTACATTATTTTAGGTATAGAGAAACTGGCTTTTCAACCAAACTGAATGATGCATCTCGATATAAAACAAGAGCGTATGCATGTGTATGTATCTATGCACATATACACACACACACACATATGTGTTTATTGGTTTAGAAAAGGTCTCTCGGTTCTTTTCTACTCACCTTGAGCTTCTCAAATCTCAGGCAGCTGGAAGGAATCATGACTTTTCATGAAAGCTGAAAGTCATAAATTTCAAGATTAATTAATATACACTCTTACTGTGATATTCACTAGAACTTCCTCTCTCTCCAAAATTTAGCACATTAAATAACATTAAATAAAGGGCTAATGACTAACAGATGCTAGCTAATGCAGGATTCTTCTACCTGCATGAGTGGCTTAGTGAGTTGAGTGACTGTGTCATTTTATCCTTTTGATCCTTTGAGTTTGTAGCCACTAAATTACATACAGTGGTTTTTTCTTCTTCTGATTCCACAATAGAAAGCATTTACTTTTCTTTCATGTTCTAAGTATCTGCTATTGTTTCATACCAGAAGCAAAACAGTGACCTTTGTGGGTCCTTGGGCTCACCCAGCATAGTTGCTTTTGATTTGTTCAATTCTGTAGTAGCTAAATTTTGACTAATTTTCTAGAGTCATAGTAATTTCTCTTCCAAGTAAGAAAGGAGTTGCTTTCAATAAAGTTTGAAGGTCAGCAATAATAATATAAGGAATTTTTCAGGTTGTTAACTTATTAGCTGGAAGATTATCTTATAAGAGTTTGAATAATTAGAGAAGGAATAAATTCTGAATATTCAAACTAATTCAAGTGGGTTTTGTATAAGGTTTATTCTTATACTTTAAATACTATTCTTAAAATATATGTGCAACACAAATTAAGAAAAATTAGTAGTAACTCTTAGAATAATAAATCTTAATAGCAATGCACATACAAAACCATTTTAGCTTAATAATATCATTTGCCAAAATATATTTCAGACTGTGACAGGATTTGTGTGAGCTTTCTCCTTTGAAAGGATGCTCCTAGCTTTGAATTTCAAACACTACCTTTTGTAGCAGGTGGACAAAAGTAATCCTTTTCTTTCTAAGAAAGCCAGCTAATTGTATGTCTGCCTCAGATTTAGTTAAATCTTTGGTGATGGGCTTTCAAGAGAGTGTTTTATGGTTTGCTTTCTTTTGTTGGGGCTTTGGTTTTGGTTTGAGGGGGTTTTTTGGTTTGTTTTTTACTGTCAGTTTTTGTTGAGAATTTCCTGATACCGCTGTTAAAAGTAAACTGTTCTTCGAAGGAAGCTTTGACAAAATTTCTAGTTTTAAAGAGAAACTGGAAAAGTGCACAGCTACTGGGAGGACAGTGCCATCCTCCCCGTTGCCTGAGAATTTTTTTTTTTTTTTTTTAAATGCAAAAGCAAAGTCTTGATAGAAAAACTAACGGTAGCATGGTAGACTACAACAAGCTTATTTTGGTCCGAAAGTAATATACTCTTAAACAGTAATATACTGTATTTATCGAATTGGGGTTGCTTGAGTATTTTTTCCATTGTTTTCCAAGCATCATTCTAAATACAATTTTCTGTTTGGTCACTACTTGGATAATGTGAATGGTACCCATTATTGAAAGGTAGTCTGTATTTGTGCTAATACAGAGAATGCCAGTTTAGAAATGAGCCTGATTGCATGGTTCATTTTGTTCTCCTTTGTAGAGCCAGGCTGCGGCCCACTACAAAGGCACTAAACATGCCAAGAAGCTCAAAGCACTGGAAGCCATGAAAAATAAGCAGAAATCTGTTACTACCAAGGACAGCGCAAAGACTACCTTCACTTCCATCACTACCAATACCATCAATACCAGCTCTGACAAAACAGGTTAAGCGACAATCTTTGTTGGTTTTGTTTGTTTTGGTTTTTTTTTTTTCTTGTTTTCTTGTTTAATTCCATGTCTGTTTGGTTATGTGCTTGCCACATTGATTCATGCTCGATCCATCTTTCTGTGTGGTGTTGATTTCTTTTAGTCCTTTCAGTAGGCTGGTGAGAGTATGATAGTCATGTAACTGATTTCTCTTAGAGAAAAGAGGCTTGCCATTCTTTTAGGACAGAATGCAATACTCATGACTTGATTAATTTTTATAGTGGCTAAACTGTTACCTATCAACTGATCGAAACTTTCTAGTCTGTATGCAGTATCTCTCTATGAGCAATTACATATGGCACATTTCTTTTAACCAGAAACAATGTAGCAAATTGCACTGCTTGTGTCTAGAAGCCTCTTCCAAAAGTGTTGTTAGTAAAAACCTAATTTTCATAAATTTCAAACATTGCATTATTTTTTTAAAACGGCTATTGCATGGTTTTGAGCTGGAAAATAGCTGTGTAACTTCTATTCCACACAATCAGGTAAGTGCTATTGATGCCAATTATTCTGCTTAAATGAGTCCTCAGACTGAAATAATATCCTTTAAATTTTTGTGTGGGTAAAAGGTACTCCTTTGCAAGTAAAATCTATCTGAGTATTTGGTAAAGTCAACAGGATTTGATTAAGCTTGCATTTTAAATACGTGGCTATTGTACTGGAAATTCTGAAGGAAGGTTGTAAGTTCACTGAAGGGTAGTCTCGTATCTCACAAGGTATGACTGTTCTTGTGTATGAAGGGATACAGTTTGCATATTTTGTCATAATCAACCCCCCTTCCCCAAACAAGCCAAAACCAGCCACGGCAAAAAAGCCAAAGCTGTGAAACAACAGACAACTTTCTACTGATGCTGGAAACTGCTCAATTGGAACCACTTCTGATGCAGTAAGTTTAGCATTGTAAATGGATGTGCACTAGCCAGTTATAGTATAATAAAAAAAGTACCTTGCAGACATGTGTAGTACTTACCTTAAGATACATCTTTGCTATATTTGTTAAAGACAGATATCTCTATGTCTATCTCTCTCTATATATGTATAGCTCTTTGTCATAGCCCTTTTTTGTAGACAGCATATGTTTTTATGGAGGTTTATATCCTAATTATAATGGGATGGCTTTAAAAAACAATTGTTACATTATATTCATGTTTGTTACCAAAAGTAAAGAAAGAAAGAAAGGAAGAAAGAAAGAAGGAAAATATTCCAAGTATTTTTGTTTCTATGATGAAAGAAATGAAGCGTGGGAGAATAGGAACAATGTCAAAAAGTTATTTATAAAAATGTATGTGTTTCTAAACATACAAATAAATTTAAGAGTTTTGCCTGCTGTTACCCGTTGGCATGTTCAGAACAGAAAGGGGGTATGTTATATGGAAATAATGATTTATTGTTTACAAACTATGATCTAGTGTTTGGAGAAAATAACTGAAGAAAAAATGGACCTCTTTAAGCTTTAAAGTGTATTATGCAAAAACTTGTATCTTATACTGTATAAGTTTGAAGGATTTTCCAAGGTGCCTTAAAACCAGTCTGAGTCTTTCCATCAGGCTTTGAATTAGATCCCTGACAAGATATATGAACTGTCTTGTATCCAAGGTCAGTAGTACAAATCAGTATTTATATTGGCATAAGTAAAAAACATCAGAAATCTAGTTGCACACAAAAGCAATGGCCTATGCAGGAGTTTCCTCAGGTTTACACATTGTTTATGACTTCCTGGATTAATTTCATAGAATGCGTGCCTACATATATGTATGTACATGTGTATATATATGTATTCTATGGTAGAATTATTGACCTGAATGGCATTCTAAAAGACACATATTGATGTTAATTGGCAAACAGCCCAAAATCTGACAATTTCACAAAATACTGAGAGCCATATTCAACTGCTGGCAAAAGCCCTATTTAGCCAGTGGCATTTAAAGAAAGGTGGCCAAATTATTGTGATTAAAGGTCAGCACTGATGTGACTGGCAGTAGAATAGCATCCTTGGTGTAATTTATCCTTTGTAGAATCAAGCATGTATGCATAGCAGGAGAAAAAAAAAGGAAAAAAATTTGGGGTAGCCAAAAGGATGAAATTTTCTGCTAAACCTGACAAGTTAAAATTTTTCATATATCGGATCTTATTTCCTTTCCAGCTGTTCTGTGTCTTATATTTGCTTGATAGAACTTTTAAGGGCAAAATGATTCCAGAAAGCCAGGATAACATCAGAATATGCTGCACTGTGTGAGTTTGCACATTTATAAATGATCTCTGTAAAAGTCAAATATTCTGATAGTAATATGCAGTTCTGACGGGATAGTTGTACTGATGAATATAATTCATTAATTAATCTTTTGTAACTAGAAATAAGTTCTATTACTAAGTCCCTGCACTTGTGATCATTTGGAAGAAAAGCTTTTTCTACTGTATTTTAAAGCTCTCTGCTGAAGATTAATACCTGATCCCAAATACACCGACGATAGGGTCATGTTCATATCACCTCCAATATATCATGTACAGCAGTGGTTAAATGGTGAATTACATGTCAGTCACAGCACATTGGTCAGGACTTCAGTTCACTGGTTCTGTGTACCCTTAGCAGCTCCAGCAAACAAAATGTCATCAGGAAATCTGCAGTGCTATGCAATGAAGATTATGAAAAAGACCACACAGTATACAAACTGATTCAAGACCTAAAGCAGCAATTTGTTATGTTGCTTCTTCTGGAACTATTTTGTCAGACCTGGTGCCAGCATGTGTTATTGCAATAAATAATGGAGACTGCAGCCCACAATGTAAGCAGACTCCTTAAAACCTTTCATAAATGATTCCTGGTGGCTAAACTATGTGTTAAGGAGAAAACATAAAATATGGGGTCATTTTGCTCATTCTGTGAAAGTTGCTATTTTTTTTTTACCCTTCTAAACAAACTTTTAGAATTATTAGAAGGCTTGAACTTGAGAAATCTTTGGGGGAATGAAATATAATGAAGAGTTATGTTGGCAGTCACGTAACGGACAATGCCATTCTCAACATGTGGGCATTTTCTTACCAGTTCTTTTATTTAACATCCTTCTTTCATCTGTATTTACCATTTATTGTTTGATACCTGTAGTCACTCAGGATAGAAAAACAGAAAGCGTGACCATTTCAAAGATAAGCGGAATTTTTGGTAATATACTGGTGAGATTCTTGATTTTCTAATTCAGGGGTGACAATAAAAATTCATATTTTCACCATATATTAACAAACATGCATAGAAATTCCCTGACATATGTTAAACATCCTTGATAGCTTTACAAATTGCCCCTCCTTTCTGCCAGGGCATATTTTCCTCATAAAGATGCTTCACACCTTCACTTTGGCTGTAAGGACAGATACTTTAGGAACACCTTTCAGAATATATGTAGATAGGCTGTGTTCTGTCTTCCTAACTATATGTCCTATCCAGTAAAGTCATTATCCCATACTTGGATTTTTTGAGTCTAGAGTGAGTGTCCAAGATTATATCCATGTAAAATGATATCCCTATAGTTGTTGCATATGTCTAAATATTGATTTTTTCCAAAGCTATCTGAAGTTAAAAAGGACTCTCCGTGACATTATCACAAATTAGGTCTTGAAGAATTGGGCTATTTTGGGTGTATTATTAGATATTTCTTTATTCATCATGAGTTAGATCATTTGTTATCAATGGAGAAGAAGGAGTAGACCTTCCAAGGGGGAAAAACATATCATTGGGACCCATCACTATGGCAAAGTCTTTAATGTTGCTTTTGAATGTTATACATTATGTCTTAAATCCTTTGTACTTAAATGCAATGAGCAGCTCTTAAAACCAGAGAAAAATGTAATGAACAGAAAAAATGTGTATCCAGGCCAAGGCACAGACAAGATCTTCTATCATTAGGACAGTCTTAACAGCTAAGAGACCCCCATGCTGTCAGAGAGCAAAATACTGGCACCTGTCCTAAAAAGCTTACAGTCCACACATAAGATGAGAGACAGCTTAGGGAGATAGACCCTGTTAATGTAATAGGTAGGCATTTTGAAAGAGCAATAGCATAAACACGTTCAAGTGATAAAGGCATCACAAGAAATGAGAACACTGAAGGATGGATTAGAATGAAAAGGAGGAGGATTTTTTCCAGATTCTGAACATATGTGTGGGTAACAGCATGGGAGAAAGCACAAATTCTCTTATTTTCCTTTCACTGGCACATATGAAAATTCTTCTCTGTGGGAAAATTTTTATTGAGCTACCCCTTTCCAGTCCTTTTGGGTTTTCTTTTTCTTTAAGAAGTGATAGGATATTTATGGTCAGCAGATGAAACTTGCTCCTGAAATAACAATTTCAGTCCAGCTGGGATAATTCTGAAATGGAGAGCAGGTGGAGTGGGAGACAGCAGTCAGCCTGTCAAGGTCTTGGGCATAAAAAAGGAAGGCAGGAGGAGAAAGAAATCAGAAATGTTGTGGTAAGTCAGGGTAAACTTCAAAAGAGGAAGAAAGAAAGATGGCATGAAATAGAGAGGTTCAGGAAGATCTGTTGAAGTTTCGCAGCCGCAGGATCACAACATTTTTGAGGTTCTGTGAAGGGATCTCGAAAAGGACATCTGGAGACTAGCAAGACCACCCCTACAGGTCAAAGCAGAGTCAGCTAGAGCATGATGCTCAGTATCGTTTTCAGCTGAGTTTTGAATATCTTCACAACCTTTTGCTGGGCAATCCATTCTAGTGTTTGACCACCCTCAGGGTAAAAAAGAGTAAAGTTAGGGTTTTTTTTCTTGTATTTAAGTCCCATTTCCTGTATTTCAGTTTGTGCCTGTTGTGTCTTGTCCTGTCACTGGGCACCACTGAAAAGAGTCCCTGGCTCTGTCTTAAATTTTACTCCCTGCTGCTGACCCCATCAGGTATTTACACACACTGCTGGCTTGTGTTTCAAGTGGTGTCCACCAGGATCCCAGGTCCT